ATTAAGCAAAATTGCGCCTGATTTGTTTCCGTACTTATTCTAAGCACGTCGGATTCTTTTAGTGGCTCCATCACATGTATAATGATTACGTGACATATCTAAATATAGAACGTCAACTGTGACTCTATTGCATAATAACACACACTTTTGGTTCTTCTATATCCAATAGTGGAGAATGCGGGTCGTATTAGAGTTGTCATTATTACATCATTTAACATGAATGTTCATTTCTTACTGAATATAAAAATCCAACAAATAATTTCGATGTCAAAGCAGATTTACTTTCGGCCAAGTATCATTTTTAAAGATAATTCTTGCTTGTTTTTTTTTTATTTTAATTGTACCGGCACGTGTACAATGAAAATGATCAAGACTTAAGTTTGATGTTCAAATATCATTTTAACAAAAGAATGCGATCATATTTTCTAGTCCATTAATACAGTTATATATTTAATAAAATTTACTTAATATAAATTATGGTAGATGCAATATCAGAAGATCGTATAAAGAAATAAATAGAAAATTATCGGTGATATTTTTATAATATAAAAGTGCACGAAACAATTGGCTCAGGACTTTTTTCTGTTTCATTTAAAAACATGCGATATTACCTAGACAACTTATTTTTTTGCAAAATGGAAATGAGGTCAACTTTGAGATCTACATATTGTTTGTGTAAATATATCTCTCTCGTTCTTAAATATATAATAAAGTTATCAATTTATTAGTTCTTTATTATACAATAAAGCAATCAATTATAATCTTTTATTTGAAGGTACCAATTCAATTCTAGCAATAAATGATATTTTATTCGATAAAAATTTACGAACATTGAGAATAAATAAGAGGTGTTAAAGGAGTTATTTATAGCATCATGGTCACAGAAAACAACATGTTATTCGCAATTAAATCATCTCCTGTTGTTTGAAAATAAGCAATATTAAATTTTGTTTATGTTATAAGAGATCTTTGATATACAATCTAAAATATAATATTATGATATCAAAAACAAACCATTGAAGTATTATACAGGTATTCTTTCCACATTCTAACCAGGTTTATGTTCTCTAGCTATGAGACAAATGAAAACAAAGGGGAAAAAAAACTCGAGCACGTGGATTAGTATATTATTAAATACTGAACTCTTGCATAGGTTCCGAGCATGATAAACAGAAAATTCGTCATATATGTTTATAGTACGGAGCAGTGCATTTTAAAACTATATCGGAAATGTTGCACGTCCTGATTAATTGTACCTTTGACTGATAATTGTAAAAGTGAGGATTAAATGCAAAAGTTCAATAGGTAGAACACTACGCTTTGAAGGAACCCATGCATGACATATTTAGAAGACTAACGGGCTTAAAAAAAATTGTTTTGTTTTTTCCTCCAGTTTAATTCATAAAAGAAACTACATTATTACAATGCGATGTTGTTTTTTTATCATTTATTTATCATTGTAGTATGTGATCTCATTTATCCCCTATGTCATTTTCACTGTTTCTCTTTTTTCATGTCTTATTATAAATGTATGAATATTTCAACAAATGTTTATAAAGATAAAAACACATTATCTTAACTTAAGTTCACAACTATTATGCGTAATCATATGTCTATTTTGTCTAGAAGTTAACAGAAATCAGTATAATAAAGAATTAAAACTTGAAAAAAAGTGAAAGAAATTCCATCATGTTTCGGACCCACTATCTGAATACATTTTCATATCAATAAGCAGTCTTACTTACTATGCTTTAGAGTCAAACGAAGCTAATATCTCCTTTAATAAAATGGGTACAAGTTTAAGGGTAATAATTTGGTTAATAACTTGCAGTTTATCTGTGTTAATCTTTTAATTGACTGTGCTTATATTTTAAAAACTGACGAAAGTTTTGTTTATCCTGCTTGGATTATATTAGCGGTGAATTAATGAGAAAAATAAATTTTCTGCTTTAATTTAAACGAATTTTGCGAAGAATAAACATTCGTGAACACAACTGATATCATTTCATAAAGCTACACATTAGCGGTTTTATGATTATTATATAGAGAAGACGATTCAAGTAAAGCATGTTTTCCAAATATTTATCTTTCAAACCTTTTGTTAAAACCGTTTTGTGATATGTTGCATATGTATAAAAGTATAACAACGTTTTAGTATATTAACATTAATCGAAAATTATTAAGTTAATAACATCTGTCCCGAAAAAATGTTGCTTATAAACTTTTCATGTATGAATACAGACATTTAATATATTTATTAATAAACACTGTGTATAACGCTTTTTAATTTATGTTTAGTAGGAATATTACAGCCTTCTCGGAAACAATTCTCTTTTTTTTTTCAAAAAGATATTCTTTTCTGACATCCATATCTTGCGAAAGATAATAAATAACTGTTATACGTATAATACGTTTAATAATATTTGCATTGTTTGCGAGACCACAATTCATTTGAAGTATTTGAATTTTTGATGCAAAAGTGTGTTTTCTATAGTATGTCAGCTCTTCGCTTCACTTGAATTTCTATATAGAGTTAAACTTATGTTGTAGTAAAAAGACAGTACCGAAGAGGACCTATGCAAACACTGAAAGGCCATCTAAAGTAAAGATACTCAAAATCATTTAGAACTGGTTTAACTTGTCATGTGAAATATCGTTTCTGGATATGGTGAGTGTTATACATTATGTAATTATCAAGTAAAGGGGCACACCAAATACACTTGCCTGTGTTGTAAAAAATAAATCCTCAAACAAACTGGGATTTATGTTTGAACATTATCAACATGAAATAATAGTTTGAAACGTATTATTCTGCGCATTGACCATGACATAAAGTAGTTATAAGCGATATAAATTACCATTGTCCATTAAATATGATGAATATGCTTATAGTGTTTCAATATCCTGGGATTTATACCACGTGTTTATTGTTTATGGAAACATTTTTATTGTTAAATGGCGTTTTGCATTAAACATGATAAACATTGATAATAACATCATGATTTATTGAAAAATGAGGGACATAACCTAAAGAAAGAAAATATAACATTGAACTGTGTGACAAAAGTATGGTCTTACCACTATTTGTTGAAGATGAGATAAAAAATACATTCTGTCAAATAAACAGGTCTGATTTAGAAAACGTTTCGGAAAAAACAAATCAGTTGTGCTCAGACAAATGAATCAGATGCTACAAATGCTACTGCTAATGAGTTTTTGTTTTAATATTTTCCCTTATAGTTATTACAAGTAAATTCATTTTTAATATACTTCTCAATTTAGTTTTAAATTAACATCATGTAGCTTCGATTCAAAAGAGGAAAACAACTTAGCAGACGGTTAAGAACACGAAGATATAAGACTATATTTGTGCATATATTCTTAAAAATATGTTTTTGCATATGTTGATTTAGAAATTAATGTAGATTATAATGATTTTAGTTAACTCGCATTTCTTTATTCTATGATTATAAAGGTATTAAAAAATTTAACCAAAAGTTGAAATCATGGTTTCACTTTCTTTTTTAATTTGTATTTATTTTCTCGTCAATGAGTGTGTGTATATGTCCAAAATAATGACAAAATATTTGCTTTCGAAACTCCCTTATTACAGTATTTCTTGAAAAATTGTAACATATTTGTTTGGAAACTTTGATATATTATCTTTTCCTTTCTGCTGTACCATTAAAATGCAATGAATAGATAAAGCTTATCTGTTAGTTTTCATATTTTGGCAACATGACACGTTCATTTTGATATAAAAAGAAAAAGATTTGAAAATTTAATTTTTCTTCATAAACATTTTTCACAAAATATACTCTTCAAGACTGCGAAATAGAAATACACGGAAATATGTTTCATATTCGGATAATGTAAAATGTATATAAGCAGAAACATTTTTTTCAATAGATTTATTAAGAAGTTCAAGACGTTAACATTTCAAAATAAGTACATAACAACAAACAAAGCAAACACGGATTACAACTAAACCATAAATGTGAACATAATATTTAACGTTTCTCAGAATTTTTTTAAACATAACATAATGTATTGTTGACAATCAAATGCAAGAGCACGATTGTACAAACAATGTTAACCGCTTAAATGGAGATATAGAAAAATAACTAGACGTACTAAATATATCCAGTATTTTTGATTTTATATGATTTAAAATCATTTCTTAACGCATGTTTCAATATCAATCTTAATAATAGCAAATACATAAATTATTGGATAAATAGATAAATTAAATTATAATAGGAGGTTCCTCGTTACTGCACTTAGGTGCCTAAATGTCGTCATTTATCCTAATAGTTATAATTGAAATTCTTTGAAATATTGGCCTCTATTGAAGGGTAATTGACATTTCAATTCACGCACAATACTTCTCTTGCAGAAATACTAATAGTAAAACTACCTAATGGTTCAATATTCATGTACGTGCAAATACACATACAATAAAATGTACAGAAAGATTTCTGATATAAAAAGAAAACTCAACGCAATAATTATAATCAAGAAATTCAGATGTCATATGATATCAATTAGGAATGATTACTGTAAAATCACGTAATTGATATATTTTAGATGGGACACAATCTCAGACTTGGAACGTATGAAAATGTTTAAAAACACACACAAATTTGCTGAGATGTTTAGTGACAAATGACCTTAACTTTTGAGTAATTGTCACAAAAAATCTCACGGTTGACTAAAAACTTATTTATTTATTGTATAAATACTTGAGCCCCTCCTCTCTTATTGTTCAGGTGAGATAATTTCCATGTTAAAAATATAACCGAGCTAACGTATACATAAAGTTATGCATCTTCATTATATATATAATATATTTGCCGAAATAAACGTTCCCTGCATATAACCTTAAGGTTACCGACATTAGCTTTAAACAGTTTCTGTCGAAATTTATCATAGCACATAGTTCAGAACATACTTTATTTTTCTTTACATTATTACATTATGTGTCATTGGTTATCAAACATCCTACTTTATTTGCTTCTTCGTCATAGAATGTGTCTCGGCATTCATACTGTTCGAATTAACTGGTGCTATTTTAAATCTTATTCTGTGAACTGTCTCCTCATCGTTACTTGTTTTCATCAATAGTAGTCATTTCTATTGGTGGATCCTGTAAAATATTAAAGAAGATATATTTCAATTGTTATTTTTCGTGACATCGTTTTAGAATAAAATGTCGTTTAAAAACTAAAAGTATCTTTAATTTCTTCTTTTTTGTTTTTGTTTTTGTTTAATTTTTTTTCCATTCTGTAGCAGTTTTGTTAAATTAATTACCTTTCATCACTTTACCTTATTAATACAATATTCTTTATTTAAAAGTAAATTACAACGTTAACTACAATGTGAAATCTAACTATGGTACTTTAAGTTCCATACAAAGATTTTTTGATTAGATTATGTTAAAATATAATAGACATTTAAAACCGTTCCTGGAACTAAGCAAAGAAGGTAACAAGGCAATGACAAGAACATATCGGATTATAACTTAAAACGACAGCAATTCTAAGATGACATGTCTGATGCGTTTAATTCTTGGTCACGTTTCCACACTATACATGTATATATAATTACAATTGTATTACTGCTGTCTCTATATTAGAAGATACAATTAAGATAGGCGATTTTATTTGAATGCATTTTTTATATTTAAATAACAAGACGGTCTTGATAGGTTATCAGAAATTTTAAATACTTTGTGATCCACTGTACTACAATATGTTCTATTTGTCTGTGTAACAGGATCCATGGTGGTGTACGTGGTACCATGATTTGCGGATGTTCGCATGCTGCTACGGTGCATCAACTTGTGTTGGTTCCACCGTCTACGTAATACCTGAATAACCTGTAACACATCAATATACATTCTGGATTTCACGAAATGTTGTTATGCTGTCAGCTCAATCAGGGCGATATTTTGACACTGCACATGAATGATAACCTTAACGTAAACGTATTTTTATTGTTTAAATGCACGTTGAAGCTCAGAAATCATTACATGTTTGTTTTCTTTTTTGATTTGTAGAAAAGAAAAAAACATGTAATTCATAATTTTATTATGATGGATTTAGTAATTATTAAATGCGTATCACTGAAAACGCAAAATTAGTTTTCACAGAAGTAACACACTGTAAGTAAAGTCATATTTAACCTTCATACAAAATAACTTATCTCTTATGTACCAAGAAAGCATTGGAAGGTCAAACCATAAATTTGAATGTATTATTCATTGTATTTAAAAATATGTAAAAATAAAGAATATAAAACTTAAAATCATGCAAATTTAAGACATATTTTTCATGATTGATAAAACTGCTATAAAATATATGTTTCAACAGAAAGGAAGAACTTTGAAATGAAATGAAGAACTATAAAATATATGTTTCATGAGAAAGGAAGAACTATAAAAAAATTCATAAGACAGGAAAAGCTATAAAATATATTTTATATAAGAAAAGAAGAATCATAAAATATATGTTTCATAAGATATGACGAGCTATACAAAACATATTTCATACAATTTACATATACCACGCATATATAACATACCTCACTATTACAAAAGCAGTACATCAATGAAACAAATGCACCCTGAAAGTAAAAACAAATGTTAAAAATTATTAGTGTTAGGTTTGAACAATACACGAAAATGACTTTGTAATCAAGTGTTACACTGAAATTGAACTTTTCTCGCAGTCTCTTAATTATGAAAATACAAATAAAATTAAAATGTCAGACTTATCTATATTTTAGTTTCCTTATTTTCAAGAATATATGTCATCTTACTACCTGCAAAGATACTAAAAGTGCTACAGCTACATGGTAAACATCTTCTAGATCTGAGCCAGCATCTGATCGTATAGGAAACAGTAGATATTGTAAGCCCAGCAAAGGAACCAGTATCTGTGTTGCCCTTGTTGCTTTTCTGAAACAGAAGATTATATTATTTACCTATTATTAGAAAAAATGCTTTTCAAGTGTCTATGAATAAAAAACATGGATTTTTGATATGTGCATGATAGAGTATATACTGAATTAACTCTCTAAACAATAGCACTGTTGCATTTGACAATATATATATGAATTTATTATTCTTTTAATTTTAGATATGCCAAATCATGATTACGCAATTTACTAACAGTTTTGTGTTAAAGGCCCATGATGAACCAGAATTGCTTTTTTTTCTTAATTTTTTTATTTCTCTACATTTACTGTTTTTGTTTCTGGTACAGCTTCTTCAAAAATACTCATTGGCCATTTACCTAAACCATCTTTGATTCTGTTGCAATTTTGGCAATTTGTAAAACATAAAGTGATTTAGTATTTTGAATGGAAATCAACATACTACTTTGTTTTCTTCTTTACCACTTCTATGATAAACACTCGTATTACTATTTTCTTCAGGTAATTTACCTATAAAATGCTCTGAAACCATTATATAACCCATGTCAGCCTGTTCTTCTTTTCTATAGAATAAAATACGTACTCATTTCTGAAGCATAAAGTGCCTTTAAGTTATATCAAGATTTTTTATATCAATGATAAAATGATGACTTAACAAAAGTACCTTGTTTGATCAGCTTCGGGCATTTGTCTAAGCTTCGTGATTAACAGCCTCACTATGTTAATCAAAAAGAGTACATTCACCTGAAAAGTATTTATAAGATTTGCTAAGGATACGAACTAAAATTGTATAAACATGCAATCAACAATTTTATTCTAAATTGTTTTAACTTACTTATGACACAAATGCAATTACAATGTTATACAGATTCAACTGCTTGGACAATAAAGGGAAAACATAATAATGCAAACATATACACAATCATTTCAGTGACGGCATATTTTTACTTGTTAAAATATACTTACCCCTATGGAAAGGACGATGGGTCCATAAACAATCCATTGGAGTGAGCTCTCATCTAACCAGCAACTAGAAAATATGTAAGGAAACATCCAAATTTTATTATTGTATTGATATTATGGGAAGGTAATCGTAACATAATATAAACATTGTTTTGTTCGAGAAATGTCTGTTTTCCAAATATTTAAATCAATTACAGCTTTAATGATAACAAACGACGCTGAATTTAAATTTTATGTTCAATGTCTCGCCTGTTTGCGTCTATGATTTCTCTGAATTCTAATAAAAAAAAACAAATACGTCTAGTTTATTAGAAAATGTTTCCTTATTTGTCAAAGACATGCAAATATTCCAGCAATATCTTATAATTAAATGTTATTAAATAAATTTTACTCAATTTCATTTGTAATATATCATATTAATATAGATTTAAAAAGCGGACATTATTGCACTCTTTGCCCACCATGTTCCGTTTTTATTTTCCGTTTTGCTCAGATAGGTCTGGGATTTATGAAATTCAAATCTTAATAATTGGAAAGTGGTGAATATCTTGTTGCATTACACACGAGGTTTTACATTTTACCTTAAGTAACTGAGATAAAGAAAAGGATACATATTTTTTATTATCCATAAATAATACGATTGATTCTTTTGATATTCATCTAATATATATGTTATCAATTAAACACTTGGTAGATATATCTTATAGTACCTGCATATATAATTTATTATACAAAATATATAATTTATGATGTGCGTAACTCATTTTGTGGTGATAATAAATACAAACGGACGTGATCTTTACATGTTCATAACCAAATACATTTATTTAATAGTAAAGATAAAACATAGTGAAACAAAAAAGGGCACTAAAAAATATCAAACATATTAAAGACAATGGATATTGTTTTGAACATGATGGCAAATCGCTATAATCATAAAACCAACTTATCAAATTAAGAAACAGCTATTAGCTATTTCTATGCCTATTTGACTTAAGTATCCACACCAATTTTTGCGGACTGGTTCCATCCCTCAAGAAGAAGCAGAGACAGATAATTGATGTGAAACATAATTCTGCGACACTTGACATTAAATGACATAAATGACATGATTAAATCGTTGATTATTTTCAGATGATATTAAATCGGAAGCAATTTTGGGCTACTCATTTGGTATGATGTTATTATGTTTTACATTACCGAAAGCGAGTACTTAACAGGAACTGATCAAAGTCTTGATCAAGTATTAGATGTCTATGAAAAAGTTTCATTTTGGTTAGTTTGTCTTAAGATCAGTTTAGCTTAGCTTCGATAGTTTAGGAAGCTTTTCCGGCTTTCCTGAAATCACCAGTTCCGCTGCTTCTGACCATTCTTACATACTTAAAAATACTTACTCAGATGAACTGACTTCGTCATTACTTCTTATAACTGCGTAAATTGTCGTGAAAATGACAGGCAGTCCTGAAATACATTTAACACAATTTTAGCACATATCATGTCTCTGTTGTTCAATATTTTGCCGAAAACAATCTCCATACAATTATATATTGTATATTAAAAGGTTGCATATCGTATCGTTCAATTGATATTTGACCAAATATTGAATAAAAGAAACCTGAATATACTTTAGTATAAATGGTTCATAATTTTATATCAATAGAAATAGTTCACATTTATACAAGTTATATTTATTATGCACATCTGCAATTTTCGAAAATGAGGAACAATGCTACATTCAAATCTACCTCGCGTGTCAACTTGTTGACAATTTTATTATGAAAATATCATGTAATTTTACTTTGCTTTAAGTTAATCTAAAACAGAAATAAACAAACCCCATCCTATAGCGTTACACGAAAAAATCAGAATTTTTCCAGAGCTTAAGGCATAAACCATTATTGTATTCAAATACAACCCTTCGCAAAACATCCATAGAAAATTACAGACCATAAAGTATTGACAAAGGGTATGAAGCGCTTGGCACCAAATCTGAAAAAAATCAAACAATTTTCTCAATAGCACATTTTGTATAATAACTTCCTGTGTTGCTTATTGTATTTCTGTCGTTGAACAAGCTAAAAGAAACAGGTCATCTCTGTTTTAAATCATTTTGTTCATAATGGACCTACAGTGATAACTTTACATTAAATCAGCTTCTCAATGATATTGCAATATATTTCCTATATCAACATTTATGTATTGTAACACATGTGTGAAGCAATAATAGATTGTCGGCACTTATCATATACCATTTTATATCAGAAAACAAACAGAAACGGGAAAAACATATCACAAACGGGACAGATGGACACAATGTTTTATTTGTTAGACCGGTTTCGTTTAATTGCCATGTTTGATGAAAACAAGAATAACACATAAAGAACATTAATTTTAAGATTCAGCTTAAGCAAACAACGTCTGAGAAAAAAATGAGCTTCAAACTATATCTTACCGGATTACTGACAATGACGTTACCATTTAGAGCTGGTAGTACATAGTAAAATATCGAAGAAACTCCCGTGAATACATATGATAAGAATATATTTTTATGAATCGTAATCCGGTCACATCGTAGCTGCTTCAAAATAAATAAAATAACAACATTTCTTTACTAATCATTTTAACATTTAAAATCTTCACACCGGTTTAAGCAATGAACGACGTCTATTTCTTTTTAATATTATAGGGAACTCTTTCATAAATATGTTTTAGATTATATTAATTGTAAATTTAAAATATTATATTGTGAATAATTTGTGGTATTGTTGTGTAATCGTAAACCCATTTTTATTTCACTTAACTATGAGCTTGAGAAAAGATTACTTCAATTGCAGCAATTTGCTGCCATCGAAACCTACCAAGACGATGAAGTAGAAGATACAACTTGTAATTAGAAATATATACTTTTTATTTTACTACTCATATTGTTAAGGCGGATTATTTTGATTGGTTAAGTTTGTTTGGTTTTATCATACGATAAAGAAAGAGGACAGATTGGTTGTTACAAAATGCAAAGCAACACCAGCGGTCAAAGCTGCCTCACCTTGATGGAGCTAGAACTGTATAATTATTCTAACCCAATTAGTCACCTCCTACGTCTGACTACGCAGAGATTAACAGTGAATGCAATTCTTATGAACAACCATTACATGAAACTTCTCAGCCACAAAGTGTTAACTTTGCCATAAAATAATCTTATAAAAGTGTACGTCTGTCCATGTCCACTCGCGACATTTTCTGGGCTATAGGTCGTACCATATATGAATACTATTTATAAATAGCGCTATAAAAGTATGAAATGATTCTTAAGGAATGGGATAAGTTACCATTATAAACGACACTATAAGATGACACATCTACAGATATGGTATAAACATCAATTTCTTACCTGAATCGGAAGAAGATACAGAATGATATTATAAGCATGACTAATGACAAAGAAAATCCGCCAATAAATATGTAAATGTATTTCCTGTCGTCGGCAATCTTAAAAGCAATATAGAGATCAGACTAAGTTTTCATATATTTATACCTAAGACAATGATATTACACTTTCGTCATTGATGTAGAAATTATTCAACCTATACTAATTGTATTTTATATGGAAATTTTATCAATCTTTTGATATCAATATTATTATGATATAAGAAAAAAGACAAAAAAACATAAAGCAGACTATCATATCGTTATTTAAACAGCAAAAAAGACATCCTATAAATGTATATTCGTATAAATGATAAAATATATCAAAATGTCTTACATCTTAATGTTTCTTATTATATAAGATAATGAAATATACTGAAACAAACAACATGACAACCATCTTATTTCTATCTCCTCAGAGAAAAATATGCAAACGATTTATCTCATACGATTATATATGTTATAATTTTCTAACATTTTGATCTTACCTCTTCAGTTTGTCTGCATTCGGTATAATTCGCCCATCGTTTGTTGTTTGTCAAGTTGACAAACCATGTCCCGTTTGCAGTGCAATCTCTATAAGCAAAACCTGAAATTATGTGTTTGATTGTTTGTACTATTAAATAAGCACCACGCACAACATGCATTCAGCTTGTAACATCCTTTTTAATAGGGCAACTAAATAGTTATGAAAATTTTTAATTAAATGATACTTAATATGTTGTGTATTTAAAAGTATTTCCCTATAATAAAAAACTACATCTAAGTGAAGTACCGGGGTATTTCCAGTTTTTATCCTGCTGTCATTTTAAACCGTTGCGACGTTTAATTTCGTAAATATTGACACCCGTTAACTTGTAGCAAGTAGATCAGTTAGTTACAAGTAGAACGATTGTGTGTTTGGTAAGGTTTTTGTTACTCTGCAATCAACTGCTACACACTATATCTTTTAAAATTATGTATATAAAAGGAAACAAAAATGAGCACATATCTTAGTATAAATCCGGTTTAAATCTAACATTTATGTAGAATAATAAAATTTTAAAGATAAAATGTAAAGGATAGTTTTGCACTATAAAATGAAATGTAAATGATAATTGTAAAATAAATGTGTACAGAAATGGGAATACGTCTTTAATTTCTTGGTAAATTTGTAAATGATTACAAAATCTATAAGATGAAACCTAAAACAAGTAAACTGAACACCTTAAATAGAAGTTGTCCTAATTTGAAAAACCATCAAAATCAATATGTTATAATTTAATTTTAAATGTTTACAAAATGGATATTATCTTAGCTACAAGAAATAATTATTATTTCATTGTTATGCTAACATTTCTTTTCGTACTGAAATAACTTAAATTTGCATGTGAGTCAGTTTTACTTCGGCCGAGTATCTTTTTCAAAGATACTTCTTGTTTGTTATTACTTGCGCTGTAATTTGATAAATTTACAAACTGCTTTAAGTCATTCAATTCACGACTACGAAAGTTTCTTTCGTCGAAACATTCTATAAACAATCTGTGTGCACAAGCAATATTAACTAAGGACGACGTAATTATTGTTTGTGAAAGAATTGTGCAATTACCAACATCTCCGATGTTGTCTTTTTAAAAGGCAGTACAATGTTTGGAGTTTGATCTACGTTGTTGTAAATGTATGATTAGTTTAAACATATTTTATGGCAGCACATACATGTCAAATATTATAAAAATGATAAGCATATAGCAAAATGCCAACAGATTATGGCAACAAGTTCTATTAACACTAGATTAATTCCTCCCCAGAAATGTTTTCCATTGTTGACCACTGAATAACTAAACAGTAATTTAAGAGTGTCATCAACGATTTACGAGGTGTATATACTTCAGCTACCACACTATTATGTGGCAAAGGATATAGCAAACATGAATGAAAAACGGCACAGACGTCAAATTATTAATCACAAGCGCAACATACACAAACAACAATTATAAATCTTAAATTGAAACAATATGAAATAATTCATACCATATCAAACTTTCAAAAAATAATAATCTTATTAGTAACTTTTAAACCAGGGCAAATAATATGAATGCACATTCTAATGCACTTATTTGTGTTCGAAAGGCATTGCGTGTGAAGGCAATAAAAACAAACATAAAAAGTCAAAGTCCCGCAGGCTTGTTTTAATTGAGTCTGTTGCCTACACAGTTATACCATGTCTGTTTAAACTTCATTATAATTTTATTTATTCCATTATGTGGTAGCTATCTTTATCATAAGATCCAACTTATCAACTAAATCTACTAAGACATGATGTTTATGTACCTAATGATATCAGATATTTTTTAACAAAGACTCGTTCTATTATATTTTGTCACTTTGTTTCTAAATACGGCATTGCTTCTGACAATGGTGCCGAAAATACTTTAAATACATTTATCATTTTAAGTGCAAGCGACTTATCTTTCCACATAAAATGACAATACTATCCTCTATATTTCCTTACTTATATTTAACTTGTGTTATACTTGTATATGACAAGGCTAATATTATTACATAAACATTCAGTCAAGAACTATAGGTTTGAATATTTATAATGTCTAATATTGCGTTTTTTTCAACATCATACAGTTATGGCAAATATCATGTCCACAAAAAAGAGAAAATAAAATTGTAATAACCATCATCACGCAACCAACTGTTTTATAAAAGTGATTACAGTTCAATTAACGATGATTAAAAAAAGAAGGCCTTCATTTTTACAATACTGAAGAACGTTTGCCCCTATTTAACAAGTATATTTCAAGTCTAAACACTCACATCAATATATGACAATAGTAGAAGGAGGCAGTCTTTTTTACAGATTTCGTCTTTCTTGTTTTATAATGATATATCGACAGTAACAACTATTGCAAGTAAGGAACATATGAAATGCCGATTAACAGATGTCAGTAGCTGACGGAGATTGACGAGTCTTAGATAGTGTCATTGGTACGGACATCAATAGTTTGTTATATATTTAGCTTCGATAAATGACAATGTGAAAACAGAAACTGAATTAATATTAGTTACATTTTTGTTTTATCAAAATATATTTGGTTATACTTTACTAGTATCTTTTTACGTACCAGTGTGTATTATACTATGTATATAGATATCTAAAAAAGTGTTCAAATCTAACATTTTTGTAAAATAATAATGTCTACAAAATATATCTAATTATCATATCGAAAATATAAATTAATCAAGTAATCAATATTCTCCGCATTTAATTTTTTTCTGACCTTGGAGATGTGTTGCACATAACATTACCTCTCGTGAATAAACCGAATTTCAATTGTCAACTATTTGCATTGTTTTTATTGCTCTACAGAGCTTCCCTTTATTAGCTCTCGTCTTCATATGTTGCGTATCATCTCCGGCGATTTGCCACCGTTCATTTATAGTAAAGCGCATGAAACTGTTCCTGTGTTGTCCGATATCATATATTATGTACCTGCATAAAATCTTTGAAAATTAAGGTAACCTTATTTTATTGAATTAATGTACATTTTAATCTCCCTGTTTTTCATCAAC